CGGTACTCTGACTTAATTTGACTACAGTTATTAGCCATTTTTGGAACGCGGAAGTGCAAGCTGACATTAACTAATACCACGACTTTAACTTCATTGCTTCGCGCTTCCAACGACTTCGCAAGGGGAGGCGTCGAGGCAGGTTACGTTCTAGGGAGGTCCTAGCTTAGAGGACTTTCAAACACGGTCCCGAATATAAGGAGGCAGACTCCAGTTGAGAGAATATAATGTAGAAAAATATGAGTACCGTTCGGAGCAGGTTGTTAGCGAAAAGATGGCATACGCACGGAGTCGCGACACACATCTGGATCGAACTTAAAGATGACTGACTGGTCTGAACAGCTGTGATTGGCTAGACGTGGCAGGCACACAAACTATGTTCTTTGGTTCAATGCCTATTGGTCAGTTGTACATATAGCTCTGCCCCCTGCATAAAATCGATAAAAGTTCTCCCTTATTGCAGTGCAAACTGCTTACTGACAATTAGGTCTCAATATCGGTGGGCCTTTTCCTTATACGGTATCAGCTGATCCTCTTCAACCAAAAAGCCTTTTTTGAACACAAAATCTCTAATAACGCGGTAGCCCACTGGATCGAAAACCTAAAACGCTATAAAAGATTTAACTGGCGGAAGGGTGCGTGACACTAGTAATTTCGTATTATCGAACATAGAGGAATACCAAACGACCCTGACAAAACTTCTTGCTCCCCACAGAGTACTGTGCATCCGTCACTAGCGAAAATAGAGGTCTAGGATTCAGATTAAGGATCGCTTCAGCGTCTCATTTCAGGACGCCACTAAAAAGTTTTGTTTTTCGGCAGTCCTTAACCCATTAGATTTTTGAATCACCTGTATTTAAACGCTTAAACAAACCTCACGAAATAATACGCTATTCAAGAGGGGTGCAATTCCTGCCACGACATCCACGGAAGCACACGAACTTCTCAGCCTTGACAACGTGATATGTGCTAGAATCAAGTCCAGACTACTAGACCCGGCTACACAAAGTTTAACAGTTCCGATCAGTGTAACGTGGATGTCAGTTACATGTCTCAGGAGCAAACGCCCGACGCGGGCTCTCAAGGTCCCAGTGCTCTACTCCCATCTCCCCCTTTATCACAGTAGTCCACGCGACTCTTCTGGCAGACATTTTGTGATGATCACCCGTGCGTGGGAACTGACGCATTTGAGACTGACGTCAACCGCAGGTTTGTCATCTCACTGTACGCAGCGAAATCGACTGCCAACCAGACCATTAAAACTCGACTGGCAAAATTCTTCCCCTTGACCTGCTAATGACACTCCTTGACGAACGTTCACCGACCGCTAACGTAACTCACTTGTCTCACTCCGCCTTTGCCTTGGGCTTCATTCCTCGGGCCCTGGCAGCGGTTGTAGCAACTAGTAGTATGGGCAGGTAGTATTGCCGGCAAAGACAAGGGAAGAGACTGGATTGGCAGTTTCTGGCTTCTTAGCAGTCGTCAGTCAGTCATACTCAACCCCAAGTGGTGCACCAGCCGAGGCTCGAACTCGCGGCCTTTTTGATCAGAGTCAACCACTCTAATCGTTAAACCACGGGCTTGTTGTCTTCTAGGTTTAGGTCGGGAGGTATTGCACCTTCAGCGAACTCGTGACTCAATGGTTAGGGCGTTACACTCTGAGCAAAAAAGCGGCAGTTCGAGCTTGAATTGGTGCACCACTTGGAGCTGAGTATAACTAGTTGAAGATTGCTTGTAAGTCAGAAATGGGCATATCAGTCTTCTCTCTCTTTTTCGACAATGGTGCCTTATCTGCTAATGTTTTACCATGGTCTGATATGACCGTACTGGATAGCAGCGACTAATTAGTCCCCTTATTGACGATATTGGGTATGACTCCTGATGCGAGAATGGGGAGGGATAATACTGAAATTGACTGACTATAACTGGTTATTCGTGATGCACATATGCTCTCTTCATCACCCAGCCAGTTACCGATCCGGTTTTAAACGCAGGTCATATGGACTAAAATTTAGTTCGTGCAAGGTTCCGTAGATGGATAGCAAATCAATGTGTGGCTCCACTACAACACAGTTTCCGAATAAGACGGTTTCCCAACCCTAGGTCTAAGGACCGGAACTCGGTTTATCTACAGCCAAATGGGATAAAAGATACAATATAAGAACTACTGCCGAGCCGATTTTGTCGCAAAGGTCTTTGACATTGGCGGATAGACGCTCACTGCTCGATTGCGGAAGTCACTCGTCCTTTTCTGCCCACTTTTGAGCCCGCCGACAGCTGCAAAACGGCTAGATATAATTAAGAGAAGAAGGGATCGCTGGGACTAGACTTTTATTCGTCTGACGTCTCGAAGTCCGAAGCTGATACTTCGTCAGAAACATTAGCATAACCAGCAACAGAAACGGGAAACTTAGCACAAGGTAATGTATTATTTATAGGCTGCAGTCCCTATGATACTGTTTACCTATGACAATTAAGGACTCTCCTATCAAAGATAATTGCCCGCTTGTGAGCTAATTGCTTGATGACCGGTGTGACTTGCTGAACTTTCACCACACGTAGTGGAATTCGACGTGATGATTGTTCGGCTATCTGGTTCCCCGGCTTTGACGTTGGCCTGTGCGTTCAGCACCAAGTTTCAGCACCAAGTATGCATTTGGCATGTCATTGCACTTGTTTAAAGACTTTTAGCCCGTGAACTATGACTCAAGTAACCGGTGGCTCACAAGATTGTCACCTCTCGCAAGAAATTTGGCCTCACCATAAGTGTACAGTATCATAGTGACTGTATCCTATAAATAGTGCAAATCTCTGCGCATTAAAAATCCGTTTCTGCCACTGTTCAAGTTGATGTCTCTGATGAACAGCTGACGGCGATTAGGCATACAGTTATGCTCAAGGAAGCTGTAGTGGGTGTAATATTTGTCTGTCCCGACAGTTCTCCTTATACGTTGCGTATCCTGCAACTCATGGTATGCACATCGTATTAGCACCTTACTCTTGCAAACATTCGTCTTAAGGTTTCCTACGCCACCTTGGGTTCTCGGTGGGCTACCATCCAGTCTGAGCACAGACACGTTAGGCCTTAGTTGACTGTCGTCTGAGTTGTGGTTCTAGTTTTAAGAAAAAAAGTGAAGCCCTGGCGTAAGTGGTTATTATTCATGTTGGCCTTCCGAGGACTCCTCTGTAGTTAAATATCATCACCAATCCCCACTGAACCAATGGCCGGCGCGCGAACAATTGGAAGACTGTGGAAAATTCGCCCAACTTCAAATTTGTAAGTAAGTGGATAATTGTACGTTCTGGCCTTCCAAGCTCCCATCTATAGCATCCTGCCGTAGTAGGTAGGCGTAGTTGACAATGATAAGACAGGTATGCTCAATAAGGCTGTACCGCGTGTAACATCTGTCCGTCCCGTCAGTTGTTCTATACAGTGGGACATTTT